GTTTGTTTCCTTGTTTTGTTTCACTATATCCCCTTTTACATATATTTCAGCTAAGAGTACTTATTTGCAGTAAAGAGTACTTGCCCCATTGAACATGAAATAAAGTTTCAAAGTTTATTTCTTCAAGTTACGCTCTTACCACATTTTCGGGGAAAGTGCAGAGTAGTTGACATTTTAAACAATTTCCTTTCAAAATCAAAATGTACAAGGAAAATTAAGGTCCTAGTTAATATTAATTAAATAGTAGTAATTGTGCAAAGCGTTCGGTATCGACAGCGTTAAGTATTTACAATACATAGCAGACTGAAAATACTTATGTTTAAATACCAACTTTACCAAAACCAGTCTGCACTTACCCCACTTCACCTTATCTTATGTACCTCTTCTCCACACATTTTACTAATTAATCTCGTTTATAGTTCCAAAATGTCGGAGCCACTCGTCGTCGAATCGGTGCACATGTACGAAAAGGAGAATGCCAAACTTCATCATACGTTCAACTACGAATTGGTACATTTAGACCCACCGACAGCAGTTCTGAGAAGGGGCCAAACTTTTAATCTTGCTGTGAGATTCAATCGAGAATACGTGGACGAGTCTGATATCGTCAGATTGCTGTTCAGTTTTGGACCAAATCCAAACGTTTTGAGGGGTACCAGAGGAGTGAACACCATAACCAACAGGGATAGCTATTTGGCTGATTTGGAGGCATGGGGTGTACGAATGATTGGTATACATGGAACGGATTTGTCCGTGGAAGTGAGAAGTCCCATCGATAGTCCTGTTGGTTTATGGCAGTTGAACGTGGAGACCACCATCCTGGGCAGTAAGGCGGCTCCGATCACCTTCAATTATGAAAAGGATATTTATCTGCTGTTTAACCCGTGGCTGAAAGGTTTGTATCTTTATAAAGAACTTTATTTCTAATTAGAAGAATTAAGGAATCCAGGAAGTAAAAGTGGAAGGTTGTAAACGAGGTTTTTTTGATGTAAAGGAAATTTGAAGTTGATGATTTGGAATTCCAACGTGATAAACAGATTCCGTGTACAGTTCCTATGGAAATGAGGTTATATTTAATTACTGAGGTATAACGAAGATATACAATTTTTTAGCTAATTTCATTTTTTCGTTTGAGAGTTATCAAACATATGACAAATTCTGTTATAGCGCTTTATATCTATGCAATGTATTACAACTATATTTTTCATAATGAGTGATAGTGTTAGAAAACAACTTTATTCTGAATTCCAATATTAATGTAAGATTACGATATTGTTATTATTGTAGTGAGTTTTGTTAAGAATTTTAGAATTTGATGATTTAGAGATTTGGAGATCTGAGAATTTGGAAATTTAGGAATGTGCGAATTTCGGAATTTGGGGATTTTGGAAAATGGAAATTCAGGAATTTCAGGATTTAGGGATTTGGGGATTTGGGGATTTGAGGATTTGAGGATTTGGGGATTTGGGGATTTGAAGATTTGGGGATTTAGGGATTTGGGGATTTGGGGATTTGGGGGTTTGGAGATTTGGGGGTTTGGCAATTTAAGAATTTGACAATTTAGGAATTTGAGGATTCAGAAATTTGGAGATTCGAGACTTTGACAATGCGGCATTTAGCAATTTTGGTATTTGCAAATTTGAGAATTCATAAATTTAGGAGTTAGAATCATAACAATTCGGAAAAAGTGGAACTTGAGAATTTTGAAATATGAAACTTTTATATTTTGGAAAATTATAAATTTCAAAAATTGGAAATCTGTATAGTTAGATTTTCGGAAATGTGAAAATATCCAAATTCTGTCATTTTGAAGTTCTGTCACTTTCAAATTTGTTTTTTTTTTTTCAAAATAAGGAAATTTGCGAATTTGGTCATTTTAAGATTTGAACTTCTGGAAAATTAAAAATTATGGAAATTATTTATTTGTTCTAATAAATAATAGAATAATTAAGAACAATATCCTCCATTTTATAGTAACCATTAAAATATAAAATATACAATCCATATAATTTACAAATAATAAGAATAATTTGAAAATAATTTACGAATTATATTTTAATGATTATGTAGTTATCCTATTAGTACATTATCGTTACAATTGTAATTTTTTTATTTTTAGAGGATGTAGTATTCATGGAAGAGGAACAACTTTTGGACGAATACGTTCTAAACGACGTTGGAAAGATATGGGTTGGCCCATGGGGAAGTTCTCGAGGCAGAGAATGGGTTTTCGGTCAATTCGATGCATGTGTACTTCCTGCTTGTCAATTGTTGCTAGAAAGATCTGGCATTAAAGCAACTTCCAGAGGAGATCCTATTAGGATGTGCCGAGCTATTTCGAGAATCGTAAGACATTTTTATGCTTTTCTTTAGTATCTTTGCTTTCATAATTTCTGAACCTATTCTTGGTTGCATATAACATTTTACAAATATTTCTTTTGTAAAGGAAAAATTACTTTGAACCTCTTGTTCTTCGTTATTTAATCTTCTATAAACAATTAATACAGAACTTACTGGCGTATAATACACTTTTACTTTGAAAAAATCGAGTTCAGAAATAAACAGACGGTAAAACGTCAGTTAATATTCACATTCATTCGTTACTTCAACGAAATAATTTCAATGATACGGATTTCAAAAAAACCAATGGGAATAATTTTGTCGCTTAGATTGTGCAGATCATTTTCGCTTATATCGAGACTTGACTGCATTTTCTAATTAAAAATTTAGTGCAACAACGTGCTAATAGCTTGTTTGTTTATTTGTTTATTAACTATACTAGTGGAACGCCCGGTACTATGCACGAGCAATTAATCAGTTAAAATATAAATTTGATTTTGACCCTTGCGCAGTAAATTTTTACAAAGAAAGTAATCAAAGAACAACTAGTCGAAGCACCCACAATGATGACGTAAATAGTTTTTATGTATCCCTTAAAAAGTGTCCTTTAATAAAGGTTTTACTGTACTATCATTGTAAGAGTACACATATAATATTTTTCTGTAATATGATTCAACATATAATATGTTACATATTATAGTATGTTATATTTCTTTATATGTTATACATTATAATATGTAACATATTATATGTTGAATCAAACATATAATATGTTTCTGCGTTATAATATAATAAAACCACCCCATATTCCAATGGAAAAAGTCTTCGTCAATCGATAGATATAGGATTAATTCTTTCAGGTGAATTCGAATGACGACAGAGGTGTCATAACCGGACGTTGGGACGGCGAATATGGCGACGGTACCGCACCCGCCGCGTGGACCGGAAGCGTGCCAATTCTAGAACAATTCTTAGAAACAGCCGAGTCAGTGAAATACGGACAATGCTGGGTATTCGCTGGTACTGTGACCACCATATGTCGAGCTCTCGGAATACCATCGAGGGTGGTGTCAAATTTGGTATCAGCTCACGACGCGAACGCCTCGCTTTCCGTCGATCGTTATTACGACAGAAACAACGAGGAGCTCGAATACGACCCTAATAATTTTGACGGTGAAGACTCAATCTGGAACTATCATGTGTGGAACGATGTGTGGATGGCCAGGCCGGATTTGCCGAAAGGATACGGAGGATGGCAGGCCATTGATGCTACTCCTCAGGAACCTTCCGAGGGTGTTTATCAATGTGGACCAGCTTCCGTTGAAGCAATTAGACAGGGAGCTGTTGGTTATAATTATGACGTAACTTTTATGATAGCTTCGGTGAATGCTGATCTAATGAGATGGAAGGAGGATCCAGAAAGTGAACTGGGATATTCCAAAATCGATTGCAATAAATATCAGTAAGTATTTGAGATAATAGGGTGGCCTTTATGGGTGGATATAATGTTATTAAGGGGTATTATTTCAGTAAAAATTAATTTATAGTAAAATATTTCAAAATACAAGATCTGGATGAGAAAAGTACTTTATAACAAATAATAGTGATAATATATTTTTTTTAAGTTAAAATAGTTAATTAAAAATTATTTATTGTTTGAATACATGAAGAATGAATTCATTAAATAAATAATGATATATGAGGATTTAAAGAAGCTATAATGAAATTATGAGAAAATTTAATAGGTATAACAAAATATTAATGAAAGTAACAGGACTATGATTAAATTTGTAGAGTTATGGTTGAAGATATAATTCTTCAAGAAAAATCTTTTTTTAGTTTTAAAATTGAAATTATTCTGCTAGTAAAATAAAATAATATTATTTAAATTAAAGGTTGGTCCAATAATATTAATCAAAATTTTTAGCAGAATTTGTAAATCATAAAACTTCTATTGAGGATAATACATTGTATTAATACGTCAGTCGTAACATAACTAGAAAAATTTTAATTTTTATAAGAAGATTTAATTGCATGAAATTAGATTAAATACATTTAGTTAAAGTTTAAAGACGATGAGTAGTTTTTGAAAATTAATTATAATAATTACATAAAAAAGGAAACAGAATATTAAATTTGCAGTTTTGTATATGACAAAAAAAAATTAATCTAGATTTATTATAAAGGATATTTGTATTAATTATTCAACTTATGAAATGATATCCAATAAAAAATCCTAAAGAAGTTGTCGAAATAGATATTAATACAAAAAAGTTTACATTAATTACTTGTAATTACTTGTGCATTATAAAATACAGAACAATCGTAGTATTCACGATTAGATAATTTATTTTAATAAAAAAAAGTAGGATAAATTAATTATTTTTACGTTCATGATTCTTGGATATTCGCTACTGAGTTCTGATGGTAATTCTGGCCTTGGGAAGTACTGAAGACGCTACCGTGTATTATTCAATTTGCATAAAACGAACATAATCAAAATATTTATGCAAAAACTGAAAGATTCCGCCATTTTAAATTACATGATTGTCCACTTGTTGGAAACTCTTGATTTATGATTGGATTGTTAAACCATCGCCAGTGATAGACAGATCGAGTACTTGTCGAAGAGATCAATTAATACAATGTATTCGACGTTAAAGTGTTGGAGATACGGGGACATTTGAAATAATGTTGGAGTGTCGGAGACACGGGGACATTTGAAATTTTTAAAATTTTGAGATTTAGAAATTTTGTAATTTGATAATTTGATAATTTCATGATGTGATTACTTGATCACTAATAATTGATTACTAATAAGTGAGTACTAATAATTTGTATTGTAAAAATGTGGAAATTTAACAATTTTGGCATTTAGGAAATTGAGAATATAAACAAATTAGAAATTTACAAAATTTGGCAATATAGCAGTATTGGAATTTAGAAAGGTAAAAGTGCAGAAAAATTGCAAATTTAGAAACTTGAGAATTTAAAAATTTGAGATTTTAGAAACCAGTAAAATGGTGACTTAAACCCCCCCTAATTTCACATGGACTACAAAATTTTTTTAAAATGACGAAAGAGAATCTGAATTTCAACACTTTTAAATTAAAAGTTATGAACATTTAAAAAATTATGAACTTAGAAATCGAAGCATATGAAAAGTTGGAAATTTAGAAATTTAGAAATTTAACAACATACAAATCTAGGAATTAAAAAATTTATGTATTTTCAAGATTGCAGACTAAAAATTTCCTAAAACGTTAAAAATTTAGAAATTAAAATATTTGGAAATTGAGAAACTTACGAATTTATAAATTTATAAATTTACAAACTTAGAAATATTTGGTTTACAATTTACAAACTTGTAACATTTTTAACATCCATACTTCCAAATATAGAAATTTGCAACTATAGAAATTTCATATTTTTAAATATTAAAAATTGTCCACATCTTCAAAGCCATATTTATCCATTACTGTGTCAACTAATAACATATTTAATTCGTTTGTAAACAGCATCGGTCGTATGATTCTGACGAAAGCACCTTGGATTTACGATCCGAATGGCGACAGAGACAGAGAAGATATAACATCATTATATAAAGCGAAAGAAGGTAAATACGAATTGATTGAGTGTTTGTTCGAGCATGTAATATACTTGAACATGTAAAAAATTGTTCTCACATCTTAACCTCGTTCTTAACCACGTTTTTAATAATAATCTATCACACATGTTAATATTACTAACTACTATGTTATGTTAGAATTAAAATTAGATTTGTAGGAATATAAAATGAATAATTGAAAGATTCCCTAAAACCGGAGAGTGTACTTGCCCGTTAAGGGCTAACTCTAATTTACAAAAGTCTTTTGGCCATCTGGAAATTTGAGAATTTTAAGATTTAAGATTTAGAAATTTGGAGATTTGAGAACTTGAAAATTTTAAAATTAAAAAATTGAGAAATTCTCAAATACATATTTGTCTACATCCAACGGAAGTCCACGTTGTCCCATAAATATGTATACTATAGTAGACAATATATACATTTTCCGTTTCTCCTTCTTTATTTGTTAAAGTAAAATCAAGTTTCCCTTTTTACATTATTCACATAATATAGATACATAAAAATATAAGTTATCAAAATGTTTATCAATATTCTTAATCATATTTTGTATTTATTTATTTGCAGATACTAACTCATTAATATACTTTTCACGACAACGGTTCATGAAATTAACTAATTTTGAGTTGCTTATAAATTACAATAACTGAAATTTTCAAAATATTTCTCTCGTTGAAATAAAGATTACGTCATTTTAATATCATAACTACTAAAAATAAAAATGCAGCATTGATTCGAACTGAAAGGCGATCAGTGTCATCACTGATTGAAGACGATTATACTTATGTGAACCTTTAAACTCGAACTTCCAGAGATTGAACGTTTTGAACTTTGACGATGACACTTGAGCTTTTCAATAAATCGAATTTCATAAACTCTAACTCTCAAACTCTAAATAAAGTTGCCCTAAATTTACCAAATTACAGTTACTTTAAAACCAAAAAGTTATTTTTAATTTATCAAAATCTTATATTATATCATTTATTTTGAGGAAAAGTTTGTACAAGGTGAAGTGCGGTAAATGCAGACTGGTTTTTGTAAAGTTGGTATTTAAATGTAATTATTTTCAGTCTACTATGTAAATACTTACCGCTGTCGATATCGAACGCTTTGCACAATTACTACTATTTAATTAATATTAACTAGGACCTTGATTTTCCTTGTACATTTTGATTTTGATAGGAAATTGTTTAAAATGTCAACTACTCTGCACTTTCCCCGAAAATGAGGTAAGAACGTAACTTGAAATTAAATATTTTGAAACTTTATTTCATGTGCAATAGGGCAAGAGCAGAATCATTAACAAATCTGCTTTAAAATGCTTTTTACTGCATTATGCAAGTACTCTATACTGCAAACAAGTACTCTTAGCTGAGATATAAAAGGAGATATAGTGAAACAAAACAAAGAAGCAAACATACTAAATGGAGAAATTTCGCTTATATTATAATAAAAATAGCCTGTATAAGCACTTGCCCCGTTTACGAATTTACTCGACTTCTCATCATTTTAGCCTGTATACGCACTTGCTCCGTTTACGAACTTACCCCACTTCACCTAATTTAAAAACTTGATGTAGAAATTACTCCACTTCTCATCATTCATAATTTCTTAAAATTAAATGCAGGTTCCTATACCCTGTTTTTAAAATTATTTAGTTCTACCCAATGAGTTGCATGCAACTACCATTAAAATTTATGAAGTTATATCATCGTCAATCTACGAAACATGATACATCTCACGTTCAGTTAAAAAACACTTTGTAATTATTTAGCTACCTTAAACGATTGACTTCAAACAACTAGCTGTAATTAACTCTCGACAGACATTTTCATTACCAGTTGCTATTTATCATGTTTCCTTCAATATACGCGAACCGCTGCTGAAGATGTAATTTCATAGTATCTCACATAAATTAAATCTTGATAGATTTTCTCATAATTAAGGAATCATTAACACATTGACAGCTATGATAGATATGGTCGATTTTCGTGAAATAATTTTTTAATCGGATGTTAAAATATAGTGTATCGTATTTGTAATTGACCCCCAAAGACACGTTTGACCCCCTTATCGAATTAATTTGGAATAAAGACACTTTTGACGCCCTTATCCGGCTATACCCTTTCTAACAGGATTATATGAACCAACCACCCTACCCTTTATCTAAATTTACAATATTACAATACAATTTGTTTTATGTTTAGGAACTGAAGCCGAGCGTTTGACACTATACAGAGCAGTTCGCAGTACGGAAGTGGCCAAAAGATTTTACTCTTTGCCTTCGCCAGGAAAAGAGGACGTGGAATTCGATCTCGTAGACCTGGAACGAGTGAATATTGGTCATCCATTTGCAGTAACCGTGAACATAAAGAACAAATCCAATGAACCAAGAACCATTCAAGCTGTTCTGTCTGCCGGTAGTGTTTACTATAACGGCGTCAAGGCGAACCTGGTCAAGAGAGCATCCGGTGACTTTGTACTTCAACCGAAAGCCAGTAAGTCTACTAAACTTCATTTTCAATCAACTCAATGAATGATGTGATTTATGGTAATAATTCTTGTGACGTTCACGCGATCGGTGCTGTATGAAATGTAAGGTTTATGGTGGAATGTTTGAAACGATGATCGATTGATGAAGGTTGGATTATAGTTTTTATAGGTGGGTTTAAGTATGAGGGTAGCATAAATGATTTATTCGTTTTGAAAAGACTATATCTTCAAAAATATTACACGTACACACATAAAGGATATATGAAAAGAAGTACAAACTCAAGAAGTTTATACACCCTCCACAAATGTTCAATATATGATCCTTCGGTGACACAACACACGTCCAGACGATAATCGAGCTCATTGTATAATATTGCAGCATAGTCTTGTTAATTTATTTTATAATCTTCATTTTATGATCCATGATAAACTACAAACTAGCACAACTTCAAAAATTACATCAGTCTTAGTTCTTATAAGGATTGGTCTTCATTTTCATACAGGATCATAAAAGCGCAGACATCATACGCACAGACATCATAAACGCAAGTTTAGATTAAAAACTAGTCGCGACCCTGTCCCTTAGATCTCCTGAAGGATCATTTTAATAATAAACAGTCATTCATGCTTGATCTTTATTTTGCCGTACCTTAAATTATAATTGAAATCGAACCTGCATTTATTTACGTACATAAATAAATCTCACTTGCTTCTTCTTCAACACCCATCATTTTTTATTTTAGCTGAACAGCTGAAGCTCACGGTCACAGTGGACGATTATTTGGATAAGCTAGTAGAATATTGTATTATGAAACTATACTGCATTGCCACGGTCAAAGAAACTAGGCAAACATGGGCCGATGAGGATGACTTCCAGGTGCTGAAGCCAAACATTGCAATTAAGGTAAAAATTGAAATTAATAACGTTACTATATTAGTTTCAAGAACAGTAGTTATTGTTCTATAATAATACTAATTTACATTAGTTTCAATAATAGTACTAGCTATACAGGGTGTTACCTGTAACGCTACTCACGATTTTTCTCCCACTTGCAGCC